GAAGTTCTTAGCAATGCATATTACTAATCAAAAATTAAGTTTTGATATATTTACAGTAGTAAATTTACAAACTATCTTAATGGAACATGATCTTTACTTAATATCATAATGAATTTTGGCATAAAAGAAAAATCTATAATTTTGACCCATACAATGTATTTTTGGCTATTGCTGCAAATATACCCCAGCGACTTAAGACTGCTTTTGTGCTCCAGGGTCACACACATATATATATATATATATATATATACACAGAGAGAGAGAGAGAACACAATGCTTTATTTGATCAAAAATATAAAACAGTAATATTTTGAAATATTATTACAATTTAATATATTTGAAAATCTAATTTATTTCTGTGATGTAAAGCTAAATTTTCAGCATCATTACTTCTGTCTTCAGTGTCACATGACCCTTCAGAAATCATTCTAATATGTTGATTTGTTGCTCAAAAAAACATTTCTTATTATGATTAATGTTAAAAACATTTGTGCTGCCTTATATTTTTGTGGAAACGATACATTTTTTTCAGGATTTTTTGTTGAATAGAAAGTTTAAATATCAACATTTATTTGAAATGTATTTATTTATTTTTTGGTAACAATAAAACAAGTCTTTACAGTCATTTTTGATCAATTTAATACAAGCTTGCTGAATAATATTAATTTTTCAAAAATATACAAATTTTGAATTGTAGTGTACATCTGTTGACAGAACCCAGTTACTGCTCAAAAATGCATTGCTACACACAGAATTTAAGGGCTGGGTATCGAGTAAAAATCGACTTTTTAGGCAGCGACCGAATTGCCTCGATACCATCGAGTATCGAAAAACGTCTCGTCGTTCGGTACCAAATTTCGATACCTAAGGGGTTAATCTCATCAGCGTCAGTGAGCCAATAAGCCTGCAGCACTAGCCGGTGTGTTCGACTAGAAGAGGTGCGGCGCAGATCGAGTGTTTGTTCGACATCCGCGAGAGCGATTCGAAAGCGCACGGAGCAGTCTGCTCTCTTAGCTCTCGTGGTACTGTAATACACCGATCGGTCGTCAAGTCGAACACATGCGAGGATGTAGTGTGAATGCGTCCCAGCCCCCTTAGATGTAAGACTACATTTACACTGGTGCGTTTAAGTTTTAAAATGAAAACGATCCTCGTCATACTGGCGTTTCCATTGCGTTTCAAGCCAGCTTTCCACTACTTCCAACAAGCGACAGACCGGTCATTCAGTCATTCATTTCCAATGGAGAGTAGCACGGGAACTGCGTGGAGTTCCGATCATATGCAGATGTCCGTTCAAACTAACGTTACACGACCGAACGCGCGTGTTATGTGACCATTCATGCAAACTGTAGCATTCTCGTTCTGTCGTTCTCATTTTCGTTCTGTCGTTCTCTCATTCTCGTTCTGGCGTTCTCTCATTCTCTTTCTGTCGTTCTCTCATTCTCTCTCAATTAGGGCTGCACGATAAATCGCCTGCGATATTTAACGCGCATCTTATCAGTAAAACCGGTTCTGTAATCAGCGGTAAATCTCCATCACCTACGGGCTTTCACATTGAGCAGCATTATCTACACAGAGCCGTTGTTCACTGACGAGCTACGCTAAACCACGTTCATATTCGCGCGATTTTTTGCGCAGCTCATCAGTGAACAACGGCTCTGTGTAGTTAATGCTGCTCAATGTGAAAGCACGCAGGTGATGGAGATTTACCGCTGATTACAGAACCGGCTTTCTGACAAGATGCGCGTTAAATATTGCATGCGATTAATCGTGCAGCCCTAATCGATATCAAAAAATTTTGACCGATACCCAGCCCTACAGAATTTTCTTATGAATTACAATATATGTTTGTCCAAAATCATTGTTAATATACATACTGTCATTGCCCTATGTTGGAAGATTCATTATAGAAATTTTTCAGTAATAAGTTTTTGTTTTTTCTTTCTTTTCTTGGAAAAAAATGTTGATGTTGAAAGAAGAAAGTACTTAAAGCATCAATTAAAATGTTCAATATTATAAATTATTTTATACAGTAGTGCATTTTATATGTATATGCGTTTGCTACAAATTTTTTAGCTGCACTGTTACCTTGGCAACACATCAAGCTGAGCATTCCAAATCAGTCACTAATGAGATTCTATATGGGCCATGATGTTGCCTTAGACAGTAGCTGCCTATGTAAGCAGTTCGCTAGGTTTGGAACAGCACCAGTCACTACGTGTGTGTGTGTGTGAGAGAGAGCAAGAGTACCAGTGTGTGTTCTCCTGTGTCGCTGTAATTCATCACTGCGCGTGAACCTCTTCCCACAAAACATCCAGGTGCAGACAAAGGGTCTCTCTCCCGAGTGCCAGCGCAGGTGAGCTCTCAAGTGAGACGTCTTCCCGTATACCTTCCCGCAGCCGGCTATATGGCACACGTGCTGTTTCTTCTTGCCCATGTTAGATCCCCTACAGCATATAATTAGAAATGTACAGTCAGAATGGAAATATATTACACACATCCAGTGATGAAGACATGTAGTCAAACACACACCGTGGGGTGTCTGTATTACATATGAATATAAACACAGAAATTGTACCGTGTCTCAAAACAAAGTGAGGAAATGTGCTAAAGGAAATGTGCTCTCGGCAGTTTGCCCTCACCTCCCGCCTCCCTCTTTGCAGTTGGGGCAGGTGCATGCGACCCTGCGCAGACGTTTGCCCTCCTGGTTCAATCCCTCCATCTCCTCCTCCACTAAACGAACACGAAGGTGAGAGAGGTCATTGGCATTCAGCGTAGAGCTACTGTCCAGAGGCCACTCCTCCGAATCAGGCTCCTCCTTAATCTGAATATCTATAGAGTATAGTATGATCAGCGTTACACTAACAGCACTGCATCATTAGCGCTAAACACATCTTCCCTCTGCAATGTCACTCTGAATTTTTCTTCTTGACTGCTTCATCTTGTTTACTTTAGAAGGTCTCATTTTTAGGGCCCTATGATTTCCATGAGGAAAACGTGGATGGAATCCAGTCATAAAAATGGATTTTACGGCATAACTTGGAATTGCACAGAATTTGGCAAAATTTGGGTGAATAAATGACGTTTGTGGGGTTTACGGTCCACATGAACTTCATCCCTAAAGCTGCTCTGATTTTACACAATTTTAATTTAATCAGTAAATCTCTGTTGTGCAGCACTTTGTTTCCCGTAAAAAGAAAGGGACTGTTCAAATTTAATTTGATTACAGTTTAGAAGATTATTGCTGAAGTTGTATGCACTGAATCTAAAATGAACACCACAGAATTTATATAAATAAATACATTCCATAGGGCAGTATTATAGTTAAAATTTTAAGAAATTATTCAATTAAGTTGTATGAATTCAATTGATTAGACATCTTTTTTGATTATTTAAATTTTAATAAACTATTAAGACAGACTCTACACAAATTAATATGGATAACACAGAATTTAAGAAAAAAAAAAAAACAGACTTCATAGGGCCCTACATCTAACTAGTATGTTTTTTTTTTTCCATTTGGAAAAGGTTTACTACAGACATACAGACACACACAGTCTTCCTGAAACACCAGCTGCAGTACCTCCAGTGCTGTCTGTGTCCTCGGACTGCTGGAACTGAATGCCTGTCTGGCCCACAGCGTTCACCGTCACCGACTGCAGGTTAGGCATCTGTCCCTGACCCAGAGACAGCGTTTGCACCGGGGCAAGAGTAATCTGCTGAGCTGGAGCCGTCTGGAGCTGAAGATTCTGGAGGTTCTGAACTCCTTGGACCTGAGCGGACAGATAGGGGCAGGAGAACACAAACTATTCAAATATAATTCAACTATTTTTGCAAACATTTTTAAACCACAGCAGGCTTGTGTTATTTTAAAGAGTTTGTCTGCACTTCTGTGTTCAGTCACACTGTTAAAATTTGTTCACATGACAAATTATGTTTAAATAAAACATATATGACGATTCAAGTCGGTTGAGATGTTAAATGAATCGCGATTCAGTTTGTGGTGGGGGTTTATATGAATGTGTCTCTGAGGGAAACTGACTGTCTTCAGCAAAGTTTAGATGGTATTTTCTTTTCATCTTGTCTCTGTATAATTCATATTAAAGCATAAGAAAACAGCTGCTTTGTTTACAGCGGTAACCAAGGAAACGATGTATCACTGCTGTTCCATAAGCGCCACCTGCTGTCAGAGTGAATTTTGCATTTTCATTCAGAGCTTCTGCTGTTTTAGTTTCAGACCATTCTGTTTTTGCTTCAAATTTTGAAATTATACAGTCTAATTTAAATCACGCTGCATCTTTGTTTGGATTGTGATTAAAATGCAGTGGTTGCCTCTAATTTTAAATTGAAAGAGCACAGGCAAAGCTCTAGTTTGAAATATCAGAGAGATTTCTTTCATTTTTGAATGATTTATTTACTTGATTTGGGATTTGTTTTAAAATTTCAATTTAGTTTTGTTATTTGACATATTTCAATTTCACAAAGAAATGTGCAGCATTATTATTTATAATTTGTCTTAAACCTAATTTTGCTCAAAAAACTGTATCGTGAAATCAGTATCGTGAATTGTATTGCATCGGGAGTTGAGTGAATCTTTACATCCCTAGCATTTAAAGCAGCAGATGACAAAACTGCAACACACACTTATAATAAACAGAACGATATCGTCTGTTGGTGCGGATGCTAATATATTTATCGTTCTTGGTGCGGACAGGCCTCAAGTCCCAGTGTGCCATTTTCGAGCAAAAAGCTATAAAAGGTATCACCGAAAAAAAATCACAAAGTAACCAATCAGAAAAGTAATGTTTTTGACAAGACATATTTATGCAAGTTGTGAATTTTTACCCAATTTCAAAATCAGTAACATCAACCATGATCAAGACTGATCAGTTTTTGTGATGATTCATTCATTTGTGACTCTAATGGTGGTCACTTGTCAAACTATGTTTGTTGTTGTTTTCATGGGCGCTTTAAAAATGTGGTACAGGAAGTGGTGTTTTACTAGTGCAGCGTGTCTGTATCAGCAGGGAAATAATTACAAATTCAGTAAATAAAAAAAAAAAAGCTTCTTAATTCTCAAACCTAAAACAGAATCTTGTCACAAAACGATTTATAACTACATACCTGGAAGGTCTGCCACTGTATCTGTCCTGACGGAGTGACTGTTTGGGCCTGGATGAGGAATGTTCCTGGGTTGATGAGCTGGATGTTTTGCAGAGACTGCTGGGCCTGAGCAGACACCTGACCGTCAGCGGTCTGCAAGGGCAACTGCTGTAACTGGATCACTTGCTGTCCTCCAGACACCTGCACCGCACACTGACTGAGGTAGCCCGAGTCATCTCCCTGCTCTCCCGCCACAGACTGCGTCAACACGCCCGTGCCGTCTATCGTGCTGGTGGGCTGCTGCGAGGACGAGGAGGATGCTGAAGATGTGGTAGGCACAAACATGTCTGCGGCTGCATTAGAGCTGAGTGTCTGTTGCTGTTCCCCTGCTTTCTCCGAGCCTTCAGAATTCTCCATGCTCTGATTGGTCATGATGAGCTGTCCGTCAGCCGTGACGCCAGTGGCGATTGGCTGAGCTCCCGAGAGCCCGAGAGAGTCCAGATCCACGCTGTTTATGGGCACAAAGGTAATGTTACCAGGCAAACCCAGAGGCACGTTAGTGACCACCTGACCCTGACTGCTGAAGACCGAGCTTCCCAGAGACACCTGTGGGATATGGTGCATTTGGCCAGAATGGGTCATGAGGTTCTGACTGTTGCTGAGAAGGTCGGCGGATGCCGTCCGCGTGACGCTGATGGTATGGGTGCCGTCTGGGAGGATCTGGATCTGCCCTGTGGCGTCCTGCGCCATCGAGGCCCCCTCGACAGCAGAGGCAGAGTAACCCATCTGCCCTTCGGCCGTCTGCACCTGAGGGATGACTTGGTAATGGATGTTAGGCACTGCGCCGCCGGACGTGTCGGTCCCTGACGTGAGTAAGATGGGCTGGTTCTGGAGACCCTGGAGGCTCTGGAGAGGAAGAACATACTGTCCGTTGGACGTGACGATACCCGTGCCGGGGAGATGCAGGACACCCGAATCATCCTTTACCGCCTCCCACCTTTCAGACGACCCTGTTAACTGCACTGAAAGGTCTGCGTTCTAGGGAGGAAATACGTTCACAAAAGAAAAACATATTCAAAGTGATGCCACAACAGTGCACGTACATGGCAAGATTCAATAACAATGAACATGTCCTCATCTCTTGCTGTTACTATGGTGACTGATGCAAAGCATGGACCCCATGGACTCTGATGCAAAACATGTATAAACCCATCCTGCGTATAAAAAAAATGATCCGAATTTGGTCAGAAATACTACAAGTTAACATGTGACCTTCAAAACAATGAAGTTTTCCACTAATATTTGCCATTTATTTATATATATATATATATAGACACACACACACACACAATGAAATGGAGAAAATGAGTAAATGACTAAATGGAGTGAAATTTGTGAATCTGGATTTTTTTTTTTACATTTTTAACTCACTGGATTAAGTCTCCTATTAGTGGCAGGGAGAACATTCAGCTTTAATATAGCTGTATTTCTGTACTAGCTTAAACATTTTCAGCCAATTTTGGACATTTGCAGTGCTGCACTTTTTCACTTCACTTGTATTGTACTGCCTCATGATGAACTGTTGTGTTTGTATTCTAGCTTCTCGAAGTCACTTTGGATAAAAAAAAAAAAGTAGTCAGAGCTTCAGACATTCATTGGTCCCAGTCAATTCAGTAATCGTATGATGCACACAAAAAAATGACAAGAGCAGGCTTAAAAGTCAGGTTTGCATTTTAGAGGAAAAAGAATCAGTGGATTTCCCATTTTTCCTGGTTAGTGTGATCACATTTTTCAAGAGTCAAAGTTTTGCTTTGTTTTCTGAGTTGTGTTTGTAAAATAATGAGTACGTGTTACTTCTGGAGAGACAATCATTATGATCGAAGACTCTACAGAAATATCCAATCATGTCTTCTGTGTTCTGTACTGCTGTGAAATGCCATTAGTGAGGACTATATTAACTTGTTTCAGAAATTAAAATAAAGCTGAGAGACTGGAAATATATACACATTACCCATTCATTTTTGGAAAGAAGTTTATTTTGTCCACCAAGTCTGCATTTAATTTGATCAAAAACACAGTAAAACAGTAATATTGTGAAATATTATTACAATTTAAAATAACTGTTTTCTATTTGAATATATTTTGTAATGTAATTTATTCCTGTGATCAACGCTGAATTTTCAGCACCATTACTCCAGTCTTCAGTGTCACGTGATCCTTCAGAAATCATTCAATATGCTGCTCAAAAAACATTTCTTTTTATCAATGTTGAAAACAGTTGTGTTGCTTACTATTTTTGTGCAAACCATGCTACATTTTTTTCAGCATTCTTTAATGATTAGAAAGTTTACAAGCATTTATTTAGACTTTTTTTGTAACAATGTACAAAATCTTTACGGTCAGTTTTTTTTAATGCATCTTTGGTGAGTAAATGTATTAATTACGTAAAAAAAAAAAAAAATCTTACAGATCCTAAAACCTTTTAAACGTATATATATTATATGTTCCATGTGCAGCCTCTGAATGACTGACTCACTTAAAAGTTTGTACATCTACAAAATGAAACATGCCATGGTCCATTTTTCGACTTTTCCCAGGTCTGTACCTACCTGTACCATTGGTTCTTGTTAAAAATAAGCTGTACTGTGAACTAGACTATAATTTATATAGAATAAACCAGATCAGAGCTTCCACCCTTAAGTTTGGGGTGTAAACATTCACCCGTTCAATGTACACACGGCCGGGCTCACACTCGAACCACAGCAAGGTCTAATAAAGGTGAGATCGGTAGCGGCTGACTTACCCCTCCAGCAGCAGCATTATTAGAGTTTGCCCCGTGCTCTGCTCCGGGGGCGGGCGAACCGAGGCCGGTGCAAGTGGCGGCGAGCAGGGCGAGCGGCGAGGGCTGTCCGTCCTAACAATGGGCGGGTTTAATACATGAAAGGGGGTGGCCACACAGGAAGTACCAGTGTTTTAACAGAACAAAGTGAAAACTTCACCAAAGCACATGCATTAGAATAAGAGAGGAGAGGATTTGATCCGGTTTACCTGCTCCGCGCCGCCGCCGTCCTGAGCGCTGCTGCTGTCCGCCATGACTCCCGCTTTCACTGGCCCTTCAGGCGCTTAAACACACACACAACAACACAAAACAGCCGTTAGAGCCCGTCCACTCCGCGCGCCTGCTGCATAGGTGGCTTCATCGGTTATAACCGAGGCGTTTTGCTGTTTTATGGCTGATTTGAGCTCTGTATTTATTTCCTCCGCGGATCTTAAAGTCTCTCAGTTTCACCCGCCTGCTAACGTTAGCCTAGCTTAGCATAAACATAGCCAGCACAAAGATTCAAAGCGACCGTTCCCGCGCTCTTCAAATCCTACGTACCGGTCATTACGTGAGTTCTTTACAGAATGCTGATATCTGCGTTTAATTACACTCCGAGCATGATCATTTTAATCGGTGCCTGCGCTCGCTTTAGTCCAGTTTGTTTTTTTTCCTAATTTGATTGACGGCGGGGCTTCTACTTCGCCAACTGCGTCACGGACAGGAAGTCCCGCCCTTCGTCTCTCCTCTCATTGGAGGTTAGCCTGGAGAACTCGCCTTGTGATTGGATGGATGTTATGTCTGTCATTTTGACCGGGTTGCTTCCTATTTTTCGTTGTCCCTGGAACGCAAGTTTTGTTCATGAAGATGTAGTTTCAGTCTGTATAGTGAACTACAGAGTTTGTTTTGTTGCCGTGTTTGATGCGTTTACCCCTTTACCTTTTTAGTTTATTAGCAAGAAAGCGTTATACTTATTTAATATACTTTTTTCTCAACATATTTTGGAAGAATACTAGCTCACTTTGCTCACTTGTTTCTATTCAGACAAGCAGGGAAACTGATGATACATCATTTTTTTCATGGTCTTGTAATCAGCAATTAAGAGGTTTCTGGTTTATTGTAAGAGGCTACTTGAGCTCTGTCAAGTGTTTCTCAAGTAACAGGAGTGGTTAATGACATGCAGTCATTTCTGAAGCTCAGTCTAAATGGAGAAGGCAGCAGCATCTTTTACAAAGATGTGTCAGAGCCGCAAGGATCTGTGCTCTTCTGTTAGCAAAATATTTTTAGTAGTTTATTCTTTTAATAATTTATTCTCTTAAACATCTCCCCAGGATACAGAGTAGGCTACACCAAAAACAAAAAAAAGGAAAAACCTCACCCACTCTGTAAGGAGAAAACAACAACACACACAAAAAAAATAAATAAAGGTGCTTAAAAGAAAATGCACTCACAACATAGGCTATAGAAATCATAGAAGTATAGATATTCAATAATATTGTAGAAATCAGATAACATTTTAACCATGAAAGAGCTTTGTGGGGGTTTCCAGTGCAACATAATAGGCAAATTGTGTAATATGTATAAGTGAAACTAGGATGATAACACTGGCAAACTTACATAAATAAATAAAAGCCTGCAGCACAACAGGGACACCAAAAGCAGCAATCAGGGGCCGGTACTCTAAAAACAAACAAGCAAAAAAAAAACACTAAAAGCGCACAATTCGGCATCTCAAAAAAGGCTGATCAATAAAAGAGCTGACTTAGTTTGGACTTCATACAATTAATTAAAAACCACTGACCTTCAAATAAACTGGAACATAGTTCTGTTAAACTAGAACTTGCCCGTAGCATATGAAAGGTTTGTACAGGAGTAAAGCTGTCATGTTGATCTGTCAATCATCTACACTTTTCTTGAAATGTATATAGCTTAATAACAATTTACAGCTGTAGTATGTAGACTAAACGATATGAAATGCACCATACCAGCATCAGAAATGATCTCGGTCGTGCATTTTTTCCCCAGTGGATGCAGACACCCTATTGTAAAAGCCCCAATACATTTTAAGCAAAATGAAAGAACAAACTGGTCTGAGATCATTTCAAACAAAATCAGTTCATTTTCAGAAACGGCTTGCCAAACACCTTCTGTAATAAGTTAGGTATAATTTTATACAATTCAGTATAAAAGTTATGTATGTATGTAAATATACAGTCCTGGCCAAAATTATCGACACCCTTGATAAATATGAACAAAGAAGCCTTTGAAAATAAATCTGCATTGTTAATCATTTTGATCTTTTATTAAAAAAAATCACAAAAACCTAAACTTTCATTGAAGTAAAACAATTCTCAATATGAAATATGTTATTCTCAAATACATGTTGGCCACACTTATTGACACCCCTTTTTTCAATACTGTTTTGAAACCTCCTATAACAGCTCTGATTTCCTCCTATAATGCCTGATGAGTTTGGAGAACACCTGACAAGAGACCAGAGACCATTTTTCTACACAGAATCTCCTCAGATCTTTCAGATTCAAACGTCCATGTTTATGCACTGCAATCCTAAACTCACCCCACTCGTTTTCTATAGGGTCGGAACTGGGACGGCCATGGCATGTCATTTTGTGATTGTTGTCCTGATGGAAGATCCAACCACTGGCTATTACAACTTCCCACTGGGGAAGTCGTGATGGTTAGAGAGTCGGACTTGTAACCCAAAGGTTGTGGGTTCGAGTCTCGTACCGGCAGGGATTGTAGGTGGGGGGAGTGAATGTACAGCGCTCTCTCCCACCTTCAATACCACGACTGAGGTGCCCTTGAGCAAGGCACCGAACCCCCAACTGCTCCCCGGGCGCCGCAGCATAAATGGCTGCCCACTGCTCCGGGTGTGTGTTCACGGTGTGTGTGTGTGTTCACTGCTGTGTGTGTGCACTTTGGATGGGATAAATGCAGAGCACTAATTCCGAGTATGGATCACCATACTTGGCCACATGTCACGTCACTTTTCACTTTATTATAAGACTGACAGTAATTTTTGTATTTTTGTATCTGCTGCTGTTTGCTAGAATCCACGATGCCATGTATCTGAACAAGATGTCCAGGACCTCCGGCAGAAAAATAGGCCCACAACATTAAAGATACAGCAGTATATTAAATTGTACACATGGGGTACTTTTTGCACCAAACCCATCTTGACTGTTTGCTGCCAAAAAGCTCATTTTTAAGTTTCATCTGACCTTAGAACCCAGTCCCATTTGAAGTTCTAGTAGTGTTGGCAAATTAATATGCTGGAGTATGTTTTTGGAGGAGAGCATTTTCTTTTCTTGAATTATTTTTTCTTGAATCCCTCCCAAACAACATGTGGTGATGTAGGTTTTGTTTTATTTATTTTTTTGACTCAACTATTTTCTGCAATTCTCCAGTTGTGATCCTTGGAGAGTCTTTGGCCACTCAAACTATCCTCCTCGCCTTGCTTTAAGACAATATAGACACACAGGCAGATTTGTACATTTTCTGTTGATTGAAAATTCTTAAAATGCTTAATTATTGCCCCGATGGTGGAAATGGGAATTCTCAATACTTTAGGTATTTTCTTACAGCCACGTTCTATTTTGTGAAGCTCAACAATCTTTTGCTGCACATCAGAACTGTATTCTGGATCCTCTGCAGTGAATGGGTGCCATCAGAATGAGAGTCTAAACAGCTGATAAAAACATCACAATAATCCACAAGTAATCCACACCACTCCAGTCCATCAGTTAATGTCTTGTGAAGTGAAAAGCTGTGTGTTCGTAATAAATATATCCATCATTAATGCATTTTAATTACAGTCCATAATTGCGACCCTGGACCACAAAACCAGTCTTAAGTGTACATTTTTTAAAATTGAGATTGATCCAAAAGCTGAATAAATAAGCTTTCCATTGATGTGTGGTTTGTTAGGATAGGACAACATTTGGCTAAACTACAACTATTTGAAAATCTGGAATCTGAGGGTGCAAAAAAAAA